TAAAAATTGCGTGTAAGTAGTAAGTATGTATGCGCTGAGTAGACAATTATATCGATCTCTTTTCGTTTACCCATGACATCCCAACTTTTTCATAACTTTATTTTATTGAACACTGGCCTATCTGCAGTCGCTACTATTTTACCTGTTTATCTATATTCGGCGCATTTTCTAATCACAGAATGACATAATAATATACGATATCCATAGGTTCCAATACTCCTTTCACTTAAAATAGATGTTCCCGTGACGTCAATAAGGCCAAATGTCATCAAAGGTCTTCCTAAATACACTCCAAAATACTTAGCCAAAGGGCAAAAGGTTTTCTCATCGCCAGGTGAAAATTACGAATGCAATTATTGATTTAACAGCTGCGTGTACCTCTATAGCTTCCCCGGCGCCGCGCCGGTACACAAAACACACTTAGTACCTGCGAGGTGTGTTTACTTTAGTCCAGTAAAACAGACTGAACGTTCAAGGCAAGTTGCTAAACAAAGACTAAACGTAAATCCAAGCGAACAGTTTATACTTTCGATACAATTCCTTTTCTTTATACCATTTATTATTTCATAGCTCGTTCGTTCGTATTTTATATTTCAGACTTCCTATATGAATTTATTGAGTCTAGACAGTTAAATGGTGTTGTTAAAATGTAGATCGATTGACGTATATAAGCAAGTAGCGGCGCAATTCGTTCATAAATTGAATCATTCTTTATTGAAGCATCTTCATGATCTGTGTTTAATTTAAATGTTTATTAAAGGTAAATATATAGGTAACTAGCAGTTTCCCGCGACTTCGTCCGCGTACAATGTGAATTTTAGAACGTAACGTTTTTTTTTGTTTTAATTTCCAAAATAAAAGTATCTTGCCTATGATACTCCTTAGTACATCAGCTACTAAGGAGTAAAAAATCGCGAGTGTTACATATGTACCTATATTCATATACATGTAGTAAACAACGGTTTTAAAAGACAAACACTCGCGATTGTTTTTATATCTGTATAGAGAATCAATTTTGGGCTAATAAAGTGACAACTTAAGACTAAAAGAAATATGTATCAATTATTATTTAGGGAAGTAATCTAAAAACAAATGTAATCAGTTTCATTAGACTTTATGATTTTAAAAGTAAGTACACCGAATAGTGATAATATGTCAATTAATCATACTTATTTTTACCTTACACGCATAAAAGTGGCTGTATATAGGAACTTTAGTACATAAAGAAAATACGCAAGTAACAATAATATTTGCATAGATAATTCGTTTCCATTAAGTGTAGTTTAAGTAATATGAATGTCACGAAATGGCAATGGCAAGTTTGTGTAAATAATCCAGCTAGCTTGCTAGTTGCCTATGACATTAGTCAGGCGTAAACGAGGCATAGACGCAAGGTTACTCGTCTGTCGCACCCTCCCGATTAAACTCCCTATTTCGAATCCAATATTCCACAAACCGAGGCTAGCCCGTTCACTATATAAATAAAATGTACATTCACCAGTACATACACCATGGTTATTGAATTGTGAACAACCCCTTTCGAATTACACACTAAAAACACAAAGGGTTCAGTCAAAAACAGTTGTAATGCACGTGATTGCGTGCCATATTAATTTAAATCAACTATTGTTTTAAAAGACTGCTTATATAGCACTAGCTTTTCCCCGCAGTTTCGCTCGCGTCACAAAAGGATAAAAAGTAGCCTATGTGACATATACTAATACACATAGCGCCATCTCACCATCTATACCAAGTCTTTTGTTTTCCCTCGGGAATATCAAATTTTTCCGGGATAACCTATTATTTAATCCAGACTTCTAACTTTACGTCTGCAAAATTTCAAAGCAATCGGTTTAGTAGTTACGGCGTGAAAGCGGAACAAACCAACAAAGAAACAAATTCACTTTCCGATTTATAATATTAATAGTAAGGATGTTTTTAATAACACAATTTTGCTTTAAAATATGTAATTCAATATCTTTAACAATTAGCTACATTATTCTGCATTAGTCGTACTTTTACGAAGTGAAGTAAGTGAAGTGTTTTCTGCAATCTAAACAATGCTTGCAGATACTGAGTCACCGATTAGATTGCTTGATACAACTAGAAACTGTACAAAGTAACTGCGATCATTTGCATACACGACTACACGTGCATTTGTTACTATGTACATAGTACATGTATGTGTATGTGTAGGTACATGTTCTTCGGTCCGTATGATTGAATAATATTTTCACTTAGTTATAAATATACCATTGTATTGACTTACAAAACAAACGAGTATTACTTCGTGCATCCCAGGTATCTAGAACGCGGTGCGCGGCGCTCACTTATCATTTCATCTAGGATTACTAAAGAAGCGACGGTCCCACTGACATTTAAGAAACTTATTGTGTAAATCACAAGCTCTGTTACGTCGTGGTTCATTACAGTTACATAAACTTAAACAATGCATTTTGAAGCCATATATATAGGAGTTTATCAATATTAGCGACTGCCTCGTTGGCCGAGTTGTCGCAAGTGCGATTGCCGGGCAAGGGGTCTCGGGTTCGATTCCCGGGTAGGGCAAACTATTACTAGGTTTTTAAAAAAAATCTTAGTAGTAGCACGAAGTCTGGAATTGTGCCCGGTATATGGCAATAGGCTCACCCCCTATTACATGTGACTCATAGTGAAAAATGGGTGTTACATTGTACAGTGGCATAATGTGCACCTCTGCCTACCCCTTCGGCGATAAAAGGCGTGATGTTATGTTGCTGCATAGGAGGTTATTAGTTTGTATCCGAACTAAATGGCCCAAAAATTCGGTGGTTGGCACCTCGGTCTTTTTTTGTGGCTGGTATCCCATTAATAATGTCTTTTGTTGGCTATAGCAAGCTTTTTCATTAACAGCGAGTAATCGATTTTTATTGTGTCCACGTTTTTAGTTTTCGCGCCTGTCTGCCAACGAATGGAAACAGTACGTGACAGACTGAGTTTTTTGGCGTCAGATTCGATCAGCAATATTTATGGAGTGATTAACGTTTCATATTTTCTATGATAACAGCTTTTTTTGTTTAAAAAATTCGATCATAAAACGGACGCTCTTTATTGTGATTTAAACTGTCAAACACCAAGCGGTCACCGGTGACCGCAACCTATTGTTCTTTAATTGTGTCTATAAATACGGTACTCGACGAGTTAAAGTTCAATTGTCGTTTACAAACTGCTACTGATTTCAACCTTATTTTCCCGGAATGATTACATTATTAAAAGTTTAGTTTCTATTCAATTTTTTTTTTTGTTGTACAAATTTTCTGCTCCAATTCCTATGACATTAGTTGGCAAATGGTAATTTACTTAGCACCATAAATGACGAGTCAGAGCTAAGAGTATTTAGACCTGTATATAGTGTCATATCCATAAGGAACACTAAAAATAAACAAGCAAAGTAAATAAACAAGAAATCATGGTTTCCTTAGCACACGAACTGAGCAACATTTTAGCTGGAAGTGTCGGTTTGCAAGCTGTGGTGGAGGCGCAAATGTCGCCAGTCACGCGACCTGGGGCGGCACCAACAGCTTATTGATTAAATATAATTACACGCCTCCGTTCCTCCCTTCCCTTCAATATTATCCCCACCATGATAAACCATGAGCTACAAGACAGTTACTCCAATTACTTACTTTTAATTTATTGAATTTTCTATAGGAAATATATGGTTATGGCAACTCCTGTTGGCTATACCATATCATTGGTGTAAAAGAAGGAAATTTAAACACAATTGCCTGTAAATAAAGTTTTGCGTGAGGAAAGTAAAAGTATAGGTAGATACTTTTAATGCAACCTATTTAGAAAAAGATGAGGAGGCAGAGGAGCTGTTTCATTTCAAATCCTTACGGCTTTTTATACAGGTTTATATATATATAATAATCATAATTTTAAATGCGTGACAGCCATGCTTCGGCACGAATGGGCTGGCTTGACCGGAGTGATACCACGGCCTCGGAAACCAACGTGAAACAACGCTTGCGTTATTTCATCGTATGAGTGAGGTTACCGAAGGACCAATCACTTGTAACACCTCTGGTGTTCCAGGTGTCCATGGGCGACGCCGATAGCTTACCATCAGGTAATTCGTCAGCTCGTTTACCGGCTTATCCCATAAAAAAGTACAAATTCAAAGTAGTATTCTCAAATCAATCCTATCAGTTGAAAGTATACCAGAATCTAGAACATAGCAAATAATGTACACACGTACATTACCTCCATTCAAAACGCGTTACCCTCGTTTTAACACGTCACAGTAACACAGTTCATCAGTACCATCAACAACCCATGATTGTTCCACTTGCTGGACTACGAACTTCATCCACAAAAGAGGGGTTCTCCACACTAGGCTGGTTTGAAGACCGCAATTTAAAAGGATCAGGTTTATTAAAGAACTAGCTGTGCCCGCGACATCATTCACGTGGAAAAGTGACTTTGAATAGTTCTTTACAGCTCCTCTTACGTAGGCGACAGCTTGATATTATGTAGCTAAATGTTAACTCGATCTTTTAGTAGGTAAATATTTATGCAAAGCTTGAATGAAATCTATGCAGTACTTTTTAAATTTAGCCCGGACATGACAAACATATAAAAATGGTAATAACTATATCTTTGGCTGTAGACTGTAGACCACGTCACAACCTACAACCTACCTACTATTTAAAAAAAAATCAATGTACAGTTTAGAGTTTTCTACGATTTTGTTATATAGGTGCCTGCCCGGTCTCTGTTATAGGCCCTTAGGGCTTTATGTTACCAGGACATCATAATCCGGTTAGTATATGTCCGTCTAGGGTGCCGACAGCGCCATTTTTATCCGCTCTGTATACTTCTTTCGTTACTCTACTTTCTTCCATCATTTCTACATGTCCAAACCCACTGGTTTGAAAAGTGAAAAGTGTCACTACATCATCTTTACCTTTACCACACAGTTCGTTATTCGACTTATAAGACTTCTTTATTGTCCACAGATGGATGGCTCCGATCAGTTTGGCAATCCACGCTCCTGGCACAGACATGCTGCCTTCAGTGAACAGCATCAGATATCTCCGAGACTGTTCCGGCCACGACCTCGTCCAGCAATACGTGACCTTCCACATCTTCTTCTCTAACAAACATATACCTGATAACGTAAGTTAATATAAATTTGTGTGTTTTACACTAATTTCACACAAATATTTTTATTATAGTTTCAACTGTAGTGCTTAATTCTCCAAGAAAATCCGCTATCGACTGGTGAGAATCGCATTAAAATGCGTTCAACCATTCTTGACTTTGTTGCTAAAAAACAGACAGAGTAAGGCATCGTAGCGAATAATAATAAATATGTATTGGTTGAGAAATCGCTTCAGATAATGGCTTGGACTGTAGCTCTGGCCTTAATACAGTTTTCTAATAAAGTAAATTGATCTATATGTGCACAATTACTCTAACACTGAACACAACGTAAACATCACAATATAACACCACGGGGGGTGGGCAGAGGAAAGAGATCAGTAGTTTATCGAAAAATAGCACCACTTTGAATCGTAACTAAAGTCAAAGACTCATACATGGTCTAAGGGCTCGTACACAAAACTGCGATACGACGTCGCATCACAAAAATGTGCGAATTGATTCGCATCGCGCATCAAAATTTTATCTCCACAAAATCTTCTTTGTTTCTTTTTCCTGTATCTCCTAAGCAATAACAGAAGTGCACACATCTCTTTATGATCCATGTCACGACCTAGTTTTTAATTTAAAATACGTTTAGTATGGTTGACGGTCGTCGAAGGAATTGTCACCCTTGTCGCACGAAATCGCATCGCAGCAATTTTCATCGTAATTTTTTGCGTTGCGAATTCGCATCGCATCGCAGTTTTGTGTACGAGCCCTAAATTCAAGAAGACATTATTGGTCAGCACATTCAATCATCTGATCACCTCCAATTTGAGTTGTGTTTACTCTTGCAACTAAAGTAATTATACTTCTCTAGTTACCATGTCTAAATAAGCGTACAAACTATGATCCACCATCCTATCGTGGTCTCACGTTATATCACCTTTCTACATATTCAAGGGTTAGTTTAGACTGGTTTTCATAGCCTCATATGTACCTTTGTACTTACATGCACAGATACATACTGTATTATGATATGTGTATATATATGTTATATATAAAGTCATTGACCGCTCCTGTTACAATTCTGGAACGTAGGTAACAATAGTGTCTGGCAATAAGCCAGATAGACATTTGATTCACTTCCTTATTTACACTTTTACTCAGTTTTAACAAAACAAATACGTACTAGTTTATTACTGAGCTATTAATGTTTATATTACACACAATACACAATCGTGTTAGTAATTCATTGCACGTATAGGAAGAGAATTAAAAAGCAAAGTATTACAGTTTTGTTTGGAGCATTAACACTTTTATTTGTCATTTGTCAAGATATATAAATTCACTTTTTTTATGGCGTAAGCCGGTAAACGAGCAGACGGATCACCTGATGGTAAGAAATCGGCGTCGCCCATGGACACCTGGAACACCAGAGGCGTTACAAGTGCGTCACCGGCTTTTTGGGGATTAGGAGTTTGAGGATCGTTGGGGATTCAGGGATTGGAGAGATAGGGGAAGGGGAAGGTAATTGGGCCTCCGGTAACCTCACTCACATGACGAAACACAACGCAAGCGTTGCTTCACGTCGGTTTTCTATGAGGCCGTGGTATCACTCCGGTCGAGCCGGCCCATTCGTGTCGAAGCATGGCTCTCCCACACTTTTCACCATTTACTTTATGAGTTAATTAAGAGGGAAGTAATAGACTTATAAGTAATAGACTGAAGTATAAACTTTAGATATTCCGTGCTATTTAAACATCAGCAAATCCAATAAACGTTTACCGGACACGAAGTCGCCTTCATAACCAACTGTCGCTTTTACAACCACGCGATTATGATATAAATCCCCAAAATTTGTTCATACAAAAGTAGTCTCTAAACATCGGAAATAAGTTCTATAATTGACTTAATGGAGAGCGGCGACCGCTTGGGATTAGTTAAAGAAGTTTAGTCCTTATGCACCTTTATTAAAGCTAAATAAACTCCCATTTTCATTATCAAGTTCTTATAATATAAAACAGTATAATAAATGATTTATTATTATTATTATGTATGTCTTTACCATTCACGGGACCATAGGGTCCCGATCAATTGGGAGGCGTACGATGGCCGAAGCCAACTGCGCAGAGGCCCTTTAGACAACTTTAATCTAAATGTAATTTATTAATAACATTCATACAATTACATTTCAGATTCCAAATCCAGATGAGTTTTTGAAGACACCGTACAACTGCTCACTGCCTGCTCCTTATGCCGTCAATTCTTCTACTACCTACAAGGAAAAGATGAACCTGTTATACCCTGTCAACGTCGGCAGGAACATTGCTAGAGCTGCAGCCTTGACCCACTTCCTTCTACCCTTGGACATCGAGCTGTACCCCAGTCCATTCCTCGTGCCTCAGTTCTTGAACATGATCGCCAGAAACGAACCACCACTAAGCACTTCCAACAAGCCAAGAGTCTTCCCCTTAAGTTTATTTGAGATAGATAAACAATATAGTGTGAGTATTAACTTATTTTAACTCTCAACTGACTTTGACTGCAGGGTTGGTGCGGTGGCTGGGCAACCGTCTGCCGTGCAACGTGTCACGGGTTCGATTCCCTCACGGAACAATACTTTGTGTGATCCACAAATTGTTGTTTCGGGTCTGGGTGTCATTATGTATGTGAACTTGTAGGTATGTTTGTAAACGCACCCACGACACAGGAAAAAATCATAATGTGGGGCAACGGTTTTATTAAAAAAAAACTGGCTAAATGTAACATAAATCACTAACAAGCCTGTTACCTATGTCCAGACACAAGAATTATAATCGTAATCACTTCGTCGCCATACGAAAATAGGACAAACAAAAATGGTATTTGCATTTATAATATCAATAAGAATTAGTATCATAATATTAGTCTACTCTTACACATGACTGCCTCGCTGACCGAGTGGTCGCAAGTGCGAGTTCCGGGCAAGGGATCTCGGGTTCGATTCCCGGGTCGGCCAAAGTATTACAGGTTTTTTTTATTCTTCTTAATTGCACGGTGTCTGAAATTGTGCCCTGTACTTATATGACAATAGGCTTACCCCGTATTACATGGGACTCAACATAAATTGGGTGTTACATGGCATTAAGTGTCGTAATGTGCACCTCTGCCTACATAAAAAGGCGTGATGTTATGTTATGTTCTTACAAATTTCTGCATTGCCTCGTTGACTGTTAGCGAATGCCATCTGGCTTGTGCACTGTGCACACATGGTGACATTATTTACATAACTATATGCATTTACCATGTTAAAATATAGGCCAAATGTGTACGTCTATATTTTAATGTCCTTTTTAAAGTCTGTACACCGTATGTTCCCACAATTACTCTGTATTTTATGGCCATTTTTGTCTCTTAACATGTTAACAATGAACATGCTTAGACATAAATTAGAATGTGCAGAACATAGCCTCCCCTAATGACTTTTACAGCGCAGAAACACGAATTCGATTGTTTTATTCCACTTGATTTTTAATGCAAACTTTTCTTACTATTTCAGCCTCCACAGACGAAATTGGAACTGCAGGGAATGTTGAAGAACAAAACTGCTATACCGTTCCATAAATACGTGTGCCCCACTTGTCATAACATACCACGTGGTAACGAGTGGATGGCCAAACCTGAGACCCCATGTAAGTAAAGAACTATTTACTTCAAAACCTAGAACCCTATGGTATACCGACAGTCGCGGAGAACCTAACGGGTAACCGAGGCTCTGGCCCGACGTGCAGGAGTAGGAACGGGGTGGTTTTTAATCAGTAAGAGTCTGACACTCCCTCCCGCCTCACCCAGGCGGGAGCAGTCATTTGATATTCCCCCCTTAAAAAAAATGGTATAACCGACATAGGCGGAAAAACAATTCTACTGATATTACAAATGCGAAATTTTGTATAGGTATTTGTTTGTTATTCCTTCACGGCAAAATGGCTGTACGGATCTGAATAAAAATAAAATTTGGAACAGGGGTAGATTATAGTCTGTAATAACACATATGATACTGTCTATCTGAAACGCGGGCGAAACCGATAGTAGAAGCTAGTAATCAATATAAAAAATGCACAAAGTAAGGTCGAGGAATGTATGTCATTCCGTCGTCAAGACGGCTGATCGGATCTGGATGAAATAGAGATTATAGTCTGGAATTAACGTTACGTAGTAATCAGTGGTACAACTAGTTATACGACGAGTTTTTACCAGAGGCTGTTGTCCAATTTTAATAATAGTTGGACCACAGCACCTATTGTGAGTTCCGTGCTCCAATTCATTTAAAAAATAACATGTCCCAACTTTAAAAACCTCAACTACATTTTTTACAAACATTCCTTTTACCTATTACGTTCCCGTAGCATAACTTCGTCACATATACGAGAGTAAAACCGCTACCAGAGTCCCCGCTGATCTTAGTGTCTTACTGTAAAATAAGTCTTAACACTATAGTCCTTCAAGGTTGACAATGCTTTGGTACAACACTAAATCACGAAGCATCATCTGTGTCAATTACGAAGTGAGATTTTTATTGCCAAACGAGTGGTTTGGCAAATCATATAGTGATGTAGCAATTAATCTAAGTGCTGTTAGTGTCGTGAGCTATTTATGCCGTCTGTAGCATGGCATGGCCGTCGTATGGGGCATTCTAATTGCGTATTATGGTTCAACGACCGCGCCTTACCCGCAGTTCCCAGACGACCGCCTCTAACTTTAATTTGTAAAATCGCAAACTTTCCGATTCAGGAATGCGTCAATAGCAACTTACATACATTATGCTAACTTTATACCTGTTTCCTTTATTGTTATTGTTAGCTACATCCAACTGCACATGCTCATTCCAGACTCAGTGCTAACATGTGTGACAACTATTAATATATGTATAAATAGAAACATTTCAAAGAAATTCCGTCGAAAACCAATTAAATACTGTGATTACCTCAGGTCTTCGTGCCAAGTTTTATTCTAATAGTTTTGCGTGATTGGATAACATGTATCAAACTTTCGTTTGTAAAAATAATTATAGCATAATAACAATAATTTATATTGTATTATTATATTGCAGTAATGGAAGTGTTTTACGTGGGCAAACGAGAAAAAAAGCATAGTCACTGGGAACCTATCTTCATCGGGACACACGCAGATGCTTATTACGACGACCGATTGAGTTGGGAGGGCAAGAAAGATAAAATGACACAGGTAATTATTGAATATTGTATTTATTTACCACTGTTCTTCTTCCTTAACCGTTTGTAAACAATACAAATGGGTATTATGTTGACTCTAATCTATAACATCTATAATAATTATTTTAAAATATCGGACTTCAGCCCCTTTTTTTCGAAGTCCTTAATTAATTAATATACTAAAACCTTCTCCTAAGTATAACTAAAATTTTTCTGAATACCGGTGAAAATCGGTTCAACCAATCTCGGGTAAACATACATACATACATACATGTCAAACAAACAACCTCCTTTTTTTGAAGTCTTCTACAGTCTTCCTTCACACCTCTATACTTACTTATAATTCATCCACTATAAACTATGCCTAAAAGATTACTGCTGAGCAGATTATTATAATATTTTATTGTAATACTTACAGGCTTACATCTTCTGCGCCAAAGACTACGAGTTTATGATCTTGAGCAACGCTTTCCTCGTCCACAAGCCTGGGATCAAATACTACAAGGCGAACCCGAAGAGAGACAAGTACGCTGCGAAGCAAGGTTCCTTTGTAAACAATGTGATCATGAAGGAACTCAAAAAAATCTTCGGTTCAAAGCCCGGCTGCGTACTGTGACGAAACACAAGAATAAAGGTCATATATCGAAACCTAGTACACCTCAGAGGTACAAAATAGAATTCAGGCTATTCAACGCTAGGCATACTAATTAAGCTTACAGGGTTCAATAAATCCGCCTGACTTTGAAAATGTTGATAACGGAATTGTGTCCTAAATCGAACATATCACTATGATTAAAACTAAAAATGCAACTCGGTTAAGATATACGCACACTCCAGTGATTTTGTAAGTTAAGTACTAACTAATTCAGGCGTTTAACAATGCATAGGATGCAAGACACGATAGAGGCCTTAAACAGTTACTGTAAGGATAACTCTATGTTAGAAACACTCACACGTCCGTAATCTAAGTCAAGAATACTGATACAGAGGCAATGAATCTTCTTAAAAATAATATTTTGATACTTCGCAAAAGAACATTTACTATTGCAAATACCAAAATGATACAAGAAGGTCTATCCAATAATAGCCTTTAACTTCCTATTCAGAAGGATCATAGTTGTAAAGCATCTTTATAAGTTTTTGAAGTGTAAATATTTTGCTTGCTAGTGTTCGGTTGCTTTTGTATAACAAAGTACTTGACTTTATATAATTTAAGTGCTTTTTTTACAAACAGCAGTTATAATTGTTTGTAGATTTAATATATCTAGGGCCCCATTAGGACGTTGTGGTTTTACGAGCAGCTGCGCAATTCTACACAAGCACAATCCAGAACAAACACTAGAGTTAATTAACATGGTTGCCGACAACCAAATAGTTGCGCAACAAAGTTGACACCGGTGTATACAATCTCTATACAACTGAATACATTTTATTGGTAGCGGAACCAGGGCTTACGACCATGGTATCCTAGTGAAATGGGGTTCTTTATGAGCTTATAAGCTTCTAAAACACACATAGTGTTGATTTATAACATAACATCACGCCTTATATCCCCGCAGGGGTAGGCAGAGGTGCACATTATACCACTGTACAATGTAACACCCACTTTTCACTATTTATGTTATGAGTCCCATGTAATAGGGGGTGAGCCTATTGCCATATACCGGGCACAATTCCAGACTCCGTGCTACTACTGAGATTTTTTTTTTTAAAAACCCAGTAATACTGTTGATTTATCTTGTTAATTAAGTGTCCATTGCTACAATGCTAAACATATAAGCTCGAATAACGAATGTATGTAAAGACTAAGCTTGTGATTTCAATTTAAACACTATCCTCTTTGTGTTTAAGATCAAATTTGTATGTGTTAACTTTGCCACATACGTCTAGTTAAATGTCGATTTTCTGATAATCAACTGAATTATAACTACGACTAGTTTAGTAATATTGAAAGCACGACAGATGTCGTGAATCATCATTGTATCAGCCACAAAAGTTCCACTGCTGCTAGACTATTCTGGAACTTTTAATTCAAAAGATAACTGAACTCGGTAGCACTCCGCCATGTCATTGGTTGTGAGAATATTCTCGACCAATGAGGAGCGAGAATGCGATCGAACTCTCTTCGAAAGTTATTTTTTTAATAATAATTTTATTGACCATGGCAGTATCGGCATAATCGTTGCACCTCGCCTTTCCATGTTTATATTTATTTTTTTACTCATTCTGAAATGCATTTTTAGTCTATACTTCAGTAGATTATTCGCTAGTGATAAATATATTTGTAGATTTTTTATAATGATTATATTATCTATGTACATAATGAGTGTAAGAAGTATAGGTACGCTATTTTGTAATATTTTATCTGTGATTTTATTTGAAATTATTACCCGACTTCTACAAAAAGAGGGTTAAGTTTTATATTTCAAGTACTTAGAAAATCACAGGAAAAATCATTGTAATCATAAACGTTAATCTCCAGAGCTAGGAATAGAATTAAAAATTGTAATGTTTAATAGACAACCAACTAGACGAATTGGACATAATTATTATTTTATATTTTTCAATAATTTAATTGATATTTTTACCGGAAAATGTAGTTTAAAATCAATTATTTTCTATCACCTAGTCTCAGTTATTTCATGACTACATTTCAATAAAAAACTATTAACGTGTCTGCTGCAGGAAAACAGGGACATAAACATCACATTCTCGTACAATACCAGACATACCTAACTATTATAATAAAATTACTATTATAATTATAAAAGTCAAAAATATGCAGCATACATACGTAGTTCATAAACTTATTATAAGTTTATAACTTATAAGTTGTGAGTTTATAACTAAAGTTATAAGTTGTAAGTTTATAAATTATATACCTATTATAAGTACCTATACCGATAAATCAAGTCGGCCTTATTGTGGAAACTAGTTTAGCTTTAGTTGCTATTTAAATAAAAAATTAAAATGTATAGTCGTAAGCTCACCACGTTCGATATTTATTTTTAGTAATATTTTTAAATAAGTAGTTAATTTTTAAAATGACCTAGTATTTCTACGCTTTTTTTTCGGTTACATTTAAGTTTTTAATTTGGATTTGAAGATATAAACGGTAACTTATGTACATTTCTAGTTTCTTATTTAGTTTTAAGGATTTAATTTAAATAAAGATCAATGCAAAACTTAACGTTGGTTGATAAGAAAAAAAAATATTAAAGCTGTTTTTTTTTCTAAAATTGAAAAGGCGTAACAGTTATTTTTGTTAATCATAATTTCATTGAAACAGTCAACTAAAGTTATGTAAATTCATTTTTATAAAAATCTGTTTCTTTTTTCAAAGAAATGTTAATATCAAATATTGTTTATCTGTGTGCCAAATTCCTTGTAAATTGGGTCAACCCAATAGATTATGAGGAACAATCCGATGCAAATATAACCGCTATGAACAAGAGTCGAGTGGCTGCGCAATGGAATTTTTTATGTGCTCTGAGCATAATACCTGCAACTCACTTCAGAGATGATGATTGATCTGGGATGTAAAAACTTTTTATAGGATCTTCAAGATTATTTTTTTAAGGAATGTTAGTTACTAAGTATTGTTCTAGTATTAAAACTTATTAGTTTTATTCATGGGTTCCGGTTATGGTAAACGCATGTGGTGAGCTTTCGCTATCAGGCTTCAAAGTGCCTCATAGTTTGTAAGTGCAATATATAAAGTCTTCTAAATGTGATCATTTATAAAATATTTATCAATGTATAATCTAATTACTACGTTTTGTAACGTTTTCGTACCCGAAAATTGAAATAAAACAATACAATTCTTACAGTATAATGTGTTTCATTTTTGTGTAAACATTATTATGATAAGTATAAATATAATACCTGATAAATATTAGTTTGAATAATTTATAGCACATGGTGTATTTCTATACGGCGGCGACGCGCGTATACGCGCTTTAGATGAGATTCGAACGCAACCTTGCACACGGAGCGATCATGAAACGCACCTTTATTGTGCACTAGCTTCTGCCAGCGGCTTCGCCCGCGATCCCAGGGGTAAAATGCCTATGTATCACTTCAGACCATAATCTACATCTGTTCAGAATTTCATTCCGGTCCCTTCAGTCGGTTTAATATGACTGAGTAACAAACATACACATAAACTCACATATTTTCATTTATAATATCGAGTCAAGCTAATTTCAACCATTGGCCTTTCAGTTACAGCGTAATGTCTATGAATGAGTATTGTAAACGTTAGAGTAGACAAATACAATCAGAAATCACCGAATCAACCATAAAAGATAGACATATGCTGTCGAGGAATATTTTTTATATAATTTTAAGGAGAATATTTCCGTCATATATGATTTCTATGCAGCTTTAACCTATAAGCCTGCACACGCGACGGAAGCTTAAAAAATGGAGTAACTTCTCCCGTTTTCCCAATATTTCCCTTCACTGCTCTGCTCCTATTGATCGTAGCGTAATGAAAAGTATACTATAACCTGCCCAAGAGTATGAAGAATAATTGTGCCAAATTTCGTTAAAATCCATCGAGTAGTTTTTGTTTCCATAACGAACATACAGACAGACAGACAAAAATTTTACTGATTGCATTTTTGGCATCAGTAGCGATCCCTAACCACCCCTTGATAGTTATTTTTTAAATATATTGTATGTACAGAATTGACCTCTCTACAGATTTATTATAATTATTGTGCATATACGCGCTTTATGCGCGCGCTTGTCTAATTAATTCAAATACGTGTCATGTCAATCAATGATCGCGCGTTGCCAGAGCGTATAAAAAATGCCGTGTCCAATAGGCTTCAAAGCCCGAAGTTACGACGGCGTCCTTATGACATCGAATGTCCTTATGGCTCTAAATACTCAATACAGAACTTCTTAGATCTCTATCAATACACAAGCATGGTTCAGCTTAAGGTATATAGACGGTATAAAACTCAATAAGTATGTATTGTATATTGTATACCAAAATTTTAATCCAGCCAGATCCAAATTATTGCTAACCTGAGAGGTGAGGACGAAACCTAGATTCTAACCATCGACCTCTTATATGACGTCCATAATTCTAATAACCAAATCCTTATTTACTAAGTAATAAATATCAAAATCAAACTACAAAACATCAATAAATTGCTAACTTTAGAACTCTCACAATATGCTTGCCTGTACCCTGGGCCTGGACCAGAAGTAGGCAGGTAGTGGCTATTAGATGGTTTACTGGAACCCTTGAACCTTGCACACTCGTCATAAGTTGGTATATGGCTCCCTGGAGTTACATCTTCTGGTGGCGGTGGCTCCTGCTGTTGCTGTATAGGTTCTTCAGGCTTACTGTCAGTTGTTTCGGCCTTATTCTGATTCTTACTCTCATCAGTAGTTGATAACACTGGACAAATGTCTACTTTCTGCATTTTATCAGAGCCTCTTACAGGATCTTCCAAAGTTATTACAAAACCAGGGTTATTTGGAAGTAGTGTTGTTAAAGTTCAGACAACACCGTATCCAATGATAATATTTGCGATATGCAATATGTTGTGATCTTATCACGATAATGATGTGGAAAATTGACAAACTATGTTGTCCTGATGACATTTAGGTATCGATTATTTTTTTCAGTAATCTTAACAAAAAGTTTTGATTATAAGATAATAGTTAGCCACTTTGGAATGGTACAGAAAACACTCATATCAAAGCCATTCCCTATCAATATCTGACTAGATATAAATTACCTACTATGCTATGCTTTTTTTTTCGTGAGGGGGAAAATCATCCAATGACTTCTCCCGCCCCGGTAAGTCGAGAGGGAGTGTCAGACTCTCACTGACTAAAAACCACCACGTTCCTACTCTTGTACTTCAAACCAAAGCCCCAGCAGCACGTTAAGTCTTCCGCGACTCCGTATCGGCATCAGCCCTGTTGGGCCCCATCTGTGGTGGTCTGATGGCTCCTTTAAGCGCGTGCGGAACGCGACGCGCCGTACGCTCGGGCCTAGTTCTGGTCGGGCGGCGAGTCACCCGTGCTCGCCGTCCGCAGGCCCGTGCACTATGCTATGCTTAGCTGCTACTCCATAGCGTCTACGAACCGGCTACGCAGCGTCTACGCCACGATTATCGATCAGACCGCTATCACGATAGTCAATATCGCCATTTAGAGTATCACTTTCCCTACTATCACCCCCACCCTGATCATCATTGCTCAAATGCACGGAATAGTGCATGATTATCTTCTCCTGGTATGTACATAACGAAATCATAGGGTCTGAATCAATTGTTACACTTGTTTGAACGTTTAAGCCCCAAGGGAAATACGCAGAAATATTCATATTTTTCGGAATTCGAATAAGTAATCGGCAATGTGAGTATCGGAAGAAAATTATTGAAACTATCGCAAGGGAGAGCAGTACCGTGCATTCTATAATGATCATGTTCATAGGTCACTTTTTTTTAGAATAATATCGTACGAGCCAAAGAAGAAGTACTTAACATACATAACATAACATCA